AAAGAGAAAGTGAGAAAGCTAGCTGCCAGGTCTGGGACTTGAACCATGGATAGCTGTGTGGACGTCCAGCACCTTAACCATCACACCACCTGCTGGCCCCATCAGTGCATTTTTTGTAGAATGATTGAATCATTTATTGCATTCACTATGAATTTTTATTCTTGGACTTTATTCAATAATTTTTTAAATTTTAATTTTTTTTTACTCAGCTTATGTAAGATACTTTGCCAGGCATGGTGGGTTTGCAGAGATAAAGGACAGATAATCATAGCTAACATTTATTTTTACTTTATGTCAGGCATTATTCTATGCACGTTCTAAGCACTTTATATGTATTAGTGCTTTTTTTTTTTTTTTTTGGGAGAGGTTTTCGCTATAGGGCGCGTGTGCTCGCCAGACAGACAGAGAGAGACATAGAGACAGAAAGCGAGAAATCACTCCCCAGGGGGGATGGTCACGCCGCAATCCCTTCTCCTCCATTCTCCTCTCGGGATCTTGGGCATGCACGCACACGCGCCCGGCGTGAGATTTAAGCCACCGGGTCCGAGACGCGAACCGCGGTCGACTACGTGGGAGTCCAGCGACATAGCCATTATGCTAACTGCTGGTTCCCCTATTAGTGCTTTTAATATCCATAACAGCACTCTTAAGATAGGAGCTATTTGTATTCCCATTTATGACTGAGGAAACCAAGGCATATAGGTTACATATTAAATGTTAACCATTCTACTTCTCCAAAGTATAATTCAAAATAGAGGCCCTTACTTCTGTGTTCTGGAGCATCACTCCAGTGGGCTAGGATTGACCACTACTCGTTTAACTATAAAATCAGGGCACACTATTTTAAATACCACTGAAAGTGCAGATAAATGTATTTTGGGTTGGTTATTGAAGGTTGAATCTGCCACTTTTTAATTTAAGTTAAAGTTGTTATGAGGGGCCAGCAGGTGGCATAGTGGTTAAGGCACTAGGGACTCCCAGATGGCTGACCACAGTTTGAGTTCAGGACCTGCAGGCTTGAAATTCACACTGGCCATTTGTACCTTTGCACTGGCCCAAAGTCCAGAGAGTAGAATGGAGGAGAAGGGATGTAGTATGGCCATTCCTCCAAGGAGTGATTTCTCACTTTCTCTGTGTCTCTGGTGAGTGCACATACCCAACAGCAAAAATCTCTCTTAAAGCTGTTGTGAGTTAGTAGAGCCCAAGAATACATCTGCTGCTTTTAGTCATATGCCATACTATAGGTTTTTAGTCATATTTGGAAATGTTTCATGTCTTAGGTTGTATTTTAGATGTCGAGTCAGCATAAATCAGTAAGTTAAGTCCATAAATATTTGAGAACTCTCGTGGGTCTGGTATTGTCCTAACTGATGGGTATAAAGCAATGAATACATTAGAGTCTATGGCTTCAAGGAGTAATCCTGGAGTGAGCAGAGATAGTCTAAAAGCACCCATGCAGATACATAAACAACAGAACTTGAGGTGTTGATAAGTGCTGTTAGGATAAACAATGTTATAGCATAGTGTTGCAGGGCTGCATTAAAACAGTGGGAGGGAATACCTCTGGATTAGTTACTTTGATGGGAGAATTGAGTGATGTATTGTAGCAAACATAAGTTCTGGTAGAGTGTTCTAAGCAAGAGATAAAGTACCAAGATAAAGTACCAAGGCTCTGAGCGAGGTCTCAGCTCAAGGGACAGGGGAAAAAGTCCAGGGTGATTGCTGAAGGTTAATGAATGAAGGGACACTGTGGAAGATGAGGTAGAAGAGTAAGACACAGGCTGATCATTCAGGACCTTGTACGCTATTTGGGTTGAAATAGGAAGTTCTTGGTAATCTTTTTTTTTTTTTTTTTTTTTTTTTAGGGGTTTTTTCTTAAGGGGGGGTGTGCTT